CCTTACTCCAGCTTACTCCATGTATTGTAGACCAGCCTTGACTTCTAGCTTTTGGTGTAAGGAAGCTGAAATACGGGCATGATTTTTAAAGTAATTGTAACACTGATTGATGGCATTTTGATTCACCGGGAGTAAGCCTAAGAGCTGAAGTAGGAGTAAGAAATAAAATGGATTTATTTCCTTACTCCTACTCCTTACTCCAGCTTACTCCATGTATTGTAGACCAGCCTTTAACTCGCATATTAAACTTGCCGAGATCCAACTTGTATCGTCATTCTCGGTTGTTACTTTTCTAAGACCGCGGGACGCGCTGAGCGGAATTTATAATCGTGCAATCGCACTCGATCATTTTTTTCAGAGATTTGACATTACCAATAATAAAGAGCGTAGTCAGCCGCGACGAATTGCAATTCCAGATAGCACAGGCTGACGTTACAGCAGCTCTGCGTTCGCCATTGCGAATCTTGATCGCCGGATCGCTCGTTCGCGCGCGAGCGAGCGAGACAGAAGATTTGCGACGCGGATTTGCGACCCCGCGTCTCTTTGCGTCTAGAAACATTCTGATTTCGCACATGCGAATATCGAAGCGTTTCGAAATTTTGTCGACAGCATGCAATTGCGCGATGTATACTGTACGACTTATCAATTTGCGCCAAATTCTTCAAATGCGTTAATCAGCTACAAAATAGAATGCTTCTAGGCGCGAAGAGCACAGTATAGCTGATCAGGGGGTCGATTCTGTATCCTACGCCGTAGGTGAAAATGCTAAAAGTGAAATGGCTTTGTCTCTTTTCAAGGAGACGGTTGGAAGGAGACAAAGCTATTCACTTTTAGCACTTTTACTACGGCGTAAGATACAGAATTGACCCCCCCGAATTGACCTCCAGACTTACTTGTCGTCACTTTGACGAATAACGGTCAGCTTACCGTTTGAGGGATGTGCGCGTCGATAATTGTAGAAAATGACTCGGAGGCGGAACCGAAGAGAACTGCGTTACCGGCCGCGAGAATTGGCGGGCGCGGGCTACGCGGTTGCGCGTCTCGTCCGCGCGGGGGCGCCAGTGGACGGCGCGGCGTGTCCGCTCGCGGACTTGCCTCTGTATGCAATATGGCCACGGCAGGGGCTCAGATTGGATAAGATGGAAGAAAATGGCATGCGAAGTGTTATTAAATTTTAGTGAAATGTTTACTCGCTACGGTTGTGTAGAATGGGAGGCTGCATAGGTATAACGAGGGCAAGAAATGCCTCGATCAATGATACGTCGGAGAACTCGAGCAGAACTAATTCGGGTGAGATCCCCGTGGAAATTTCTGCGGCAGATACAATTGGACGTCAACTAACCTTGAAGTCATTTTAACTTTATTTTCGTCTTTGTATCTGAGGTGCACGTTATCTGTTAAGTGCGGTATCGTTCGTATCTCCTCAATTAGATTCAATATTTGCGAGAGGGAGGTTTGAGAAATGTCGTATCGACGCGAACGGCGCGTCCGTAGATTGTACGGAGTGCACGGCTGACTTTTACTTTGCGCTCTAACGGTCTTCGCTCGTCGAGTCTTTATTGCAAAATTTAGATTCGACCAGGTGCCCTTGTTGTTCCATGTAATTTTCTGCTGCGCATCACACGGCTGGCTAAATGATGCGAAATCTAAATAGCACTTAAAAGATTAGATCCCCAAATATCCCCACAGGACGGATTTTGACCATTTCAATGAATCGATATCTACTTATACTCTGTGACTGAAATGATTAATTAATCTATGCAGGGAATACGAGAAAAAACCATCTTCTATGTCACGAGGTAATCAGATGGAAATCGGATGTACCTCTGACCGAGGGTCAATTGAGAAGTAAGCGAGATGAGTTTTGGGACACTGCACCAGCGTTCGATGGCCGTAAAGAGATTTGGGACGCGCTGAGGGCGGGTGCGACCGCAGCGGAGGCGCAGGATTATCAGTTGGCACAGGCCATATTAGACGGGGCTAATATTTCTGTACCAAATGGTTTCTTAACCGAATGTTACGATGAGTTAGGAACTCGTTATCAAGTACCTATTTATTGTTTATCCTATCCAATTAATATTGTGAAAGAAGATAGCGGGAGAGACTCACCTGCCGATTGCTCAGGTAACGAAACCTTGGAGGATCCTGTTTCAATGCAATAATTTACAATGTGCTACTTTTTTCATTCTGCTGCTCTTATCAATTTTGCGTAGAACCGGTCGACGAAGGAACAGAACAAACTTTAAAACTTAGACTATCAACTACTTTAGGAGAAGTTAAACTACCTGTTTACAGCAATGACACTATTGCTATGGCCAAGAAAAAATTGCAGGTTTGTAAAAACATTAATTATATATTTAATCGAATGTGTATATATTGTATGGAAGGAACTGCTCGTAATAATAATAAAATTGTAATTCTTATAGAGTCAAGAGGGTTTGGAACCTTCACGTCAAAGGTGGTTCTTTGGTGGTAAATTGCTCGGTGATAAAATGCATATAGAAGAAGCGAAGGTACAGCCAGGTTACATAATACAAGTAATTGTAAATCCGGAGAAATCAGATAACATCTCTGGGAAGACTAGTTGAACTGATAACACGCATAAGCACGTAACGCAGTATGTTTCAATCAGTTATCGGTGGTAAACATACTTTTACGCCTGTTAACAAAACTTGTTAATCATACGTCAAAGTGAGGATATTATGGTTTTTTATTTTTTATCACGTAATCATTACGAGTGATAAGTCATTTTAGGGTAAATTCGACGTGCAACAAAACTTTCCATTACGAATTTCTCCTTTTAATGAAATCGCGACTCAAGTGCAATCAGTTGTTCTTTTCGCTGTATCATATATTTATCCATATACGTTATCATCCAATGTAAAAAAGAGTTATATAAGAATAAGAGAGAGAAAATACTAATAGAATAAAAAAAAGCATATCTTTATAAATTCGGCTTTCTTCAATACGATATACTTTCTGCAACAAGAAAATTGACTGAAACGATTTATTTATATTTGCGTAAGATATACATATATAAATATATATACAAATATATATATATACATAGACATACTATTTTTTATAATTCGTAATGCGTAAGTTTATCAAGTTTCATATTATCAAAATCTTTCTTTCGTTATGATTGCAAAACTCGTTAAAAGCGATATTGAATTACGTATTGAAACGCAGAACGGCCATTATGTGAGATAATATTTTATAATAAATAAAATATATATCATTATACATACTTTATATATACATGTTATATAAAGTATAGATATTGCTTTTGCAAAGTAGGGGAAATGGTAATTTTTTATCTATTTGTGTCATTGTCATTACGTCATGTACGAACACGAGGGGAATAACTATATTCAATGGACAATAGTGAAAAAAAGGCAAATATAATACTCATTGCAAAATACTATATACTTAGGACTCGTTTAACGAACTTCTATGTTCTACTTGCAACTATTGACTTATTTGTTTGTAATTTTTGTCACCAGTTAGTTTAACGTAAGAAGATAATGTAAGAATTTATTTCACAGTTAATACGTATAATCTTCACTAAACAAATATTTCTGTTCTAATACACCAATTGTCCTACTCTCTAACATATTATGTAGCAAAATAATTTTAAATTGTTGTATTCACATTGTATCTTCTCGTAAAAGTCTAAATTTTTGTAGGCCTAACATTTGTTTTATAAGTATAGTTAAGCTGTTGAATAAGATTTTGACAACTGAATCGTTTAGAAGAGAATTATCATAATAAGACTAAGGGTAAATTTGCATTTATCTCACATAAACAAAATTACGAATTACGTAACCAATAGGTTTGCTGTATATGCAATACATATATTGCATATATTGTATATACCAGAGATAAGTTCTCAAAGAGTGCTTTGCATCAAACAAGTCAATGATTATCATTATTGAATAAGATTTGATCATGATAATCTTGTATTTTATATGTATCACTTGAATTGTGCGTATAAAAATCTGCACTGCCCAATTTCGACTAGTTCATTAAAATTTTAATGTTTTAATAGTTCTGGTATCTAAGTTTGCCAGCTACGATATCAATATTTTCTTCTAAAGATGTCAATAAAGTGAAAATCTCTTTTTTCACGAAAAGGCGACGAAGAGACTAATATATTCAAAAATTATGAGAAAATTATAACCAGTAAAATTGCATTTATACGCATATTAATATGTAGTATTAATTATTAAGTACTGTTCAATGCAGAAGAGTCACAATAATAGTAAATTTTTTTATCAAACTGATGTTAAGCTTAGCAGATACAATTGTTTCGTAACAATTTTAAGTGTCCAAATTTATAAAAAAAAAATACAAATTCAACTTGTATGGTAAAAAATTGAGCGCAGTAATCATTGTTTCTCTTATCAAAAGATATGCTGTATACAATACACAAGTATACATAGTAACAAGTTCAAGATATTAAATAAGATTTTTAGATTAGATTACATAATTCACGTACATTTACATTTGTAGATTATGTGTAATAATTAGTATAAAATTGGACCGTTTTGAATAATACTTTCTTTCATATCGAATAATAAAATACAAGTTCTATTAATATTAGCGCTCAGTTTAATATTAAGCAAAAGTATGATGTCAAACGTCGCCAAAATAGGAAGAAAATAACTCTATGTAAATAAAAATTGTTACAATAATGAAATGTAATTTTAACTGCCTGATAAAAATGGTACTTAATATTAATAATACTGTATTGGACCAATGCATGCGAAGTATTTTGAAATCAACAAATAATTGGCCATAATAGAATAAGTGCCCTATATGTAAAGATATTTTCTGAAGCATTCAGTTAAATAATAAATTATATCTGATAACATAGAAGAATTATTTCTCGCTTATAATATACAGAATATGTCATGAAATTTTATCTCCAGTTGAGGATATTCCTGAGGCTTATTTGGAGCAAAAAATGGTTTCAGTATGTTTCTTACTTGAAAGATTTCAAAAGTGTTTGTATTTATAACTTTTTCCTATTAAAATTCTAAAAAAAAACTAATGTTCGAATTAGTATAACTCTTTAATTATATGACTTGTAAATTAATATTAATTATAAATTAACGTATTTTGTTCCAAATGGCCTTAAAGAAATGCCCTCCTTATGCGGAGGTAAAATTTTGTGAATCACCCTGTATATTTAAAAATCATTGTTTCAACAATATCGAACCGCTTAAATTTTGTTCTGCATATGTGTATTTTTCGCAATAGTTGTGCGTATGTATTTCACGATCTTTATGCACTGATATTTTTGAAAATTTTGTCGCATTTTGTAAACGTGGAAATTATCATGCAAAAAATTATACAAAATCATTATTTCGTGTTACATATGTTTGATAATATACATGTTGTTTAGAAAACGAAGTTGTGTATATAATAGTTCCTAAGTTCAATTACTAATTATTATAACATATATTGTCAAATAAAGCGCGAAAATGTTATGAAAGCGTTGAAGAGCTCTATACTTTCCTGCTACTGATAATTATAAGTAATATAACATGCGAATAAATGAGAAAGGGACTACGTTGGTTTCGTGAATAAATATCTTCTTTCCTTTTTAATCTGTACAAAATGTTATAAATTTATATTTTTAGTATTTTACAAACAGATTTACTTAGCAAACTTTCCC